CGCGCTTGATTGCCATGACGGACTGTGGGATCCAGGCGAGCTGAGTCGAGTCTGCGTCGGCGGGGTGACGATCGCAGTGGCGGAAGTGAGCACGCAGCGACCGAGATTGTCGGTGCGGGCAGGAGGATTTGTGATTGGAGTTGAGTGGATGATTGGCTCGGGGCCATATTGGAATTTTACGACGGATACGCCTTCATTGTTGCTGATCATTTTGTCTGGTGTGAGTTCATGGCTGTGAAGCCGAATGCTCTCTTGTCGAATTCTGGTGTCTTCTGTCTCGACTTTTATCGTCTATCCCTCCCATCTCTCTCTCTCTCTCTCTCTGTGACTTGAACGACGATGTGTTATGAGTTTGTATCTCTCTCATGAATCGAGGTAAACCCTTGTAATTCCCCGCGAGGAAGAACTTCTTTCGGAACTCTTCGATTAGTTTCCTCGGTAATCCCCAGATACAAGGAACCCAATCACCTTGTCTTGTGAACGGTGGATGCGTGTGTACAATCCCCCAATTCATCTTTGACGTATGCATTATTGTCATTTTCGCACCTTCCACAGTGGATGTATGTATAGAGATGCTTGTATTTTTGCGTTGATTAGATCCAGAGCTCAACGGGATTTTGTTCGAGAATGCCAGAGTGTTTAGATCTGTCGTTCTGAACGCACTGCACATGCCATCTGCCTTATGCTGCACGACGGACAGTCTGTGGGGCAGCCTCGAAAAAGCTAGGCGCCTCGTGTTTTGTTGATCTGGTCTGCCGAAACTGAGACGCGGGTTGATCCATCGTAACTTCAACCCGATCAATGCATGCTTTTGTGGGTTCCGTAGGATGCTTCTCTCGTGTCAAAGGGAAGAAAAATACTAATTAATTCTTTTTCGGTCGTGCTTTTTGATGATGTCTCAAGGGTTGGTACAAACTCTTGTGGATTGATTGATATGTGGACTAATGGTCTCAAGGGTTGGTACAAACTCTGTTGGGTTGCTCGGGCGCCAGTCTTCCGTATCTCCCTCGCCAACGCGCCCCTTCCCTTATCACGAGGAAAGGACACGTGTATGCGAGTGGGACGTACCGGAAGTTGTCGCACGAATCGGCGGACAATATTACTTCCCTCCCGAAAATCATTGTTCTGGGTTTGTGGATGCGGGTTTTGTCATTATCGACACGCACTCTCCTCCCTACTTAGTACTGTTGCCATTTAACGAACTGATCGTCATTCCGTGGACGGTAGTGGCGCCCCATTGGCCTCGAACCCTGTGCACTGAGTGCCAACGTTTCGATCGCTACAAATCGAAGGGCTTCCACTACCGGGTACGGAGTGAGGACGAGCATAAGGAAAGAGCCACGCGACTGAGACCATCCACGTCCGACTCGGAACTGACCAATGAGCGACGTCGAGACTTGATACGGAAACGGGTTACGCGGAGTGTGCCTAATCCCTTCCGCTATAAACGAAGATCCGTAGCGTGGTGGGAAGCTCGACAATACTTTTTGGATTGAATTTGAATTTTTCTCCTTTCGCGCCGTGCCCGCGACGCGCGAAAGCAACCGACTTACTTCATCAGGCCAACACGGGGGATTTCAGTTCTGTTTGTGTCCCCACACTCAATTTTCCAAAAATCCTTGGCACACCCCATTTTGCTGTTTTTCTGGGCCTTTTTCCGCACTCCTAGCACTCCAACGGAAGACAGCACAGGGCGTGAGGTTCGCGTCACATGCGCAGCCCGTAGTTCGTTTGTTTATGTGGTTCGGGAAGGGTAAGGTAGTGATTACGCTGGACCCAGTTTCCAGCAGGTGGCGCTCCCATAATAGACAGGAGAATCTGTGTGTGTGTGTGTGTGTGTGTGTGTGTGTGTGTGTGTGTGTGTG